CACAGTGCCATGATCATAGCTCACTGTAGCCTCAAACTCCTGGGCTCAAGTGATCCTTCTGCCTCAGCATCCAGAGTAGCTGGGACTACAGGCTCACGCCACAATGCCTGGCTAATTTTTCTATTTTTAGTAGAAACGGGTCTCACTCTTGCTCAGGCTGGTCTCAAACTCCTGAGCTCAAGTGATCCTCCTGCCTTGGCCTTTCAGAGTGCTAGGATTACACGTGTGAGCCACCATACATGGCCTGAGGTGATTCTTTAAAAAGGTGGCATCACCATCTCCTTAAATATTAATTTTATGTATGACATTTCTAAAGAGTAAAAGATTTTTTTCGTATCTTTATGGTTAGATGTTCATTAGATAAAGGCTAGAAAAACTTCAAACTACCCCAAACACAGGACAAACTACAGAATCACTGCATTCTATAGGTATCAGTTTTCACACCCAAGATTTCTGAGCAATCTGTTGTTCTTTTTCCCCCTATAAATTTGTCTTCCACATAATTCAATTTGAGATTATTGCTTATATAAGGAAATATCTTATAAAACAAACATTTATAAGTTTATATAACAAGATATGAGAACTCCCCTCAATCACCAACCCCTAAAATACTTTAAAAGTCTGAAATTTAGCTTAAGTATAATCTGTGGAGTCCTTCCTTTTCCTATACTTACCACCATTACTTGCAAAAGTGTTTCTCCATAACCAAAATATTGGTATGAGTCTTTTTCACTGTTGTGTTCATAGGTAAATGACACCAACACATATTACCGTGACTTAAAAATGAACAAGGCCATTCATCTTGTGACTTGTTCCTGGAAACGTGACATATTAGATCATTCTTCAAAAAACTTTTTTTTGTTTTTATCACATGCATACATCTGAAAGGCTATTTCTACCATGTTTTGGTCATTTTTAATCACTCTGCCTATCCTTTCTTTGATATGAGGATACATTTATCAGTATAATTTTATTAACTCCTAACACAAAGGTGTAGTGAATATTTTCACTGACCCAAGTAACTAATTTGTTTTCAGAATAATGTGCAAAAGGAAGAAGGGAAAAACATCACAAAGTGTATCAGTATTTTTAACCCTTCAGATACCCGCAGGAGGAAAAGAAATTTCCCATCTTGCCATAGTGTACAGACTCTGAAAAAGAACAGACACACAGCATTGTTTTAGTAATACAAGAAAAAATAAAAACAGTTCACTTGAGATACTGTGCAAAATAACTTAAAAGACCAGTAACTTTAGTTTCAGTTTTAAAAAAGTTCTTAAAGGTAATCATATATGGAGCACCATATATATTAAAAACTAAATGTATTTTTAAAGTAAATTGGTGATCCATACTAATGAACCTTCCATCTCTGCAGTATTTTAGTATACACTCTATGTTTATCCAAGACCAGTGTTCCTCCAGAACGGATCGCCACAAGTCAGCAGGCCTATCACCTATAATATCTCCTTTCAACACCTCCCTGCTTTCACTGGTAGGTGAAAAGATGTTTTAAATCGGGTGTATACTCTTTTGGGCCGCTTCTTTTCTTACTTTGCAGGGCCAAAAACAACGTCCCCTTTTCCAGCTCGGTTACTTTCCAACAACGATTTCTTTGGACCTCTGTGCACATCATTCCTGTATGAAAATTCAGTGAGGGTCTGAAACTTTGGGGAGAAGGAAGGTGGGCTGGAAAGCAAATGACAAGACAAAAACAAACTTGAGAGGGTTAGCCCAACTCTGTGGGTGGAACTTCTCCAAATAAAGGCCAGAGTCGCCGCCCCGGGTTCCCGGACCTCAACAAAGACACCTACCGTCCCGACTATCCAGTTAGCCGGTCTAAATGATACTCCGAGTCAAGAAGCAAACCAACTCTTTCAATCCCTCAGTTAGAAAACGGGAGCAAGAGGCGTACGGCCCTATACAATCCCTTCAGGACCGTGATCGGCCTCTCTATGCCGCCTCCGGTCAGACCCACCCTACCTCAGTCCCTACTGCAGCCTCCACCCCCTGATTCCCACGTTCATGGCCGAAGCTCGCGATCAGCTCGCCCTCCACCTCACCGTCCCCACTGCACCACCACTCGACACTCGCGAACCCTAAAACCTCTGCCTGGCTCCGCAGAATCGTCCCAGCACTCTCAACATGGCGACCGAGTCCCCTGCGCTCCTCCGCTCTGGGCGCGTCCAACCTTGGTGCATTTTGGGTATTGTAGTTCCGGCGATAGCCTCGGTGTCCCGCCAGGACGTAAGAAGACTACAATTCCCAGAACGCATCGCTCCTGAGCATGCTTATTGGGGTGCTTTGGGCAGAGGGATGATGTCATTGCAAAAACCCCACTGCATTCATTGTGCTACGGTCTCTCCACCCCCCTGCTGCTGCTGGGTTTGCGATTGCCGCTCGCTCCAGCTGAGCTAAGAGTAGCAGCAGCACCAGGGCAAGGACTGACTCCAGCCCTTGGACTTAGGACACCGCAGCACATTCCCTTGCGTGCGTGGCTCATTCGCACATCATTTCTGTTTATGCCTGGGGTGGGGAGAAAAATCCCAAACCAGGTGAGTTGAAGTGATTTATTCAAATGGTTCCACCAAGTTATTCCTCCCGCTTAGTTTTCAGGGCTTTCTTTTGGGAAGATGGGGGTGGGGGCGGGATTGGGGAGGTGCTCACTGGCGCTGCTAAGGAAAAGCTCTGTGCAATTTGGGTCATTGCAAAGAACAACTCCAGCAACCTTCCCCCGCCAGAGGACCGGTGCCTGCCAATTCCCTAGTCGCAACTCCCCTCAACCTTTTTGAGGCTGGGAGAGGGGGCTGGGCTGGGAAGGATGTTGGGAAGTGCTCTTGGAAAATCAGAGGCAGAGGTGGGGGGAATGCAGTCCTGTCACATACGGCCCGAGTGCTGAGGTTTGAGTGGGAAGGGGTGATGCGTGGGGAGAAATGGAGACAGTGGTTTAATGTGGTCGCACTACTTTAGAACATTTCTGTGTCTCTCGGACGAGCATACATTATTCATTTTTAAGATGAACGTGCTTCTTTTGAGTAGCTTAAGCTTTGTGGGGCTTTATTTTGTGCGTGTATGTCTATGTCGTTTGTCTCGCCTTTTCTGGTGATTTGAGGTGACAGTGTCCTTTAATGGTGCACTCCGTGCCAGTCAGAAACATTTCACGTGTCTGGGGAAGGTTCTCTTAGGCTGCTGGAAGCAGCATTTTTGTTAAGTGTTTTCAGTTTTTCTGACTGCAGAATTCAGAATTGTTTGGAAGTGGAGCGGACAGATTTGTGCTTGTGTGTTTTAAATTACATTGCAATAGGCTCCTTCCCACTGACAATGGTACCATAATGAGCTGCCGTTTCCTGAGGCACAGTCACCACTCAAAAATAACGGTTTGGAGAAGGGATCGATGAGGGACACCTGGTTCATTTTAACACGTTAGGGGAAGGCAAAGTTAGAAGCGCTGTTAACCTTCATTTGCCATTACTGAAAGATGCCCATGGAAAAGTGATTCTAGCCAGAGAACCCAAGGAGCATGGTAGTGTTGTTTTGTTATTTGTTGCTGATGCTTGTTTTTAAATGAACTGACATTTAACAGGACTGAAAGAATTCTGACTTGTATGATGTGCTCTTATAAAAGTTATATGGATGATTAGTGCGGTAAATATGTTACTTTGAGATAAACAGCTGGCTGGCTACAGAACAGATGGGGCCAGTCTTAGCTGAGAGATCTACAACCTTGGAAATGAATGGACCTGGGGTCAGCCACACCCCCTCTTGGAATGTCAAAAGAAGGAGACTTGCCAGAGTATTTGCTTAACTCTAAAATATTAAACCTTTTCATAGCTGAGTCAGACATTGGGGGAAAGTCATTACTAACTGTCTTCTGCTGCTGAAGCAATTTTGTTTATTTTTAATTCAGACCCTTAGGTCTCCAAAGTTGTAGCTGGGCAGTACTTTGTTATATGATGCTTATTGCTGAATGGAAAGGACAGTCCATTATATGGGCTTTGTGGTAAGAGTGATTTATTAGGATGCAATGAGCAGCTTTCAGGTTTGGGAAAAGATCAACTGTTTGCCTTTGCCTTTCCCTGTTTCTCTCTTTTGCTTACTTTCTGCTCTTCTGGACACCTACCCTTCTCCCTTGTACTTTCCTTTCTCTCCTGTACTTTCCCCCCACCCCACCCATGTCTCTTGAAATTCTCTATTTCTTTAGCTGTCTCTCCATTTGCAGTTTACATTTTCCTTCTGTTTCAAAACCTCCCCCTTATCACCAGCATACCAGATCTCTTTCCAGTCTCTGAACATCCTCCCCGCTCCTCTTCTACCTCACCCAGGCACTCCAGGGCGGATGTGAATATTTATTCAGTCTTTGAAGATCCTTTCTTTGCCTTTTCTTTTTTGTGCAGTCTGTGCTTGGCAGGATGAACCCAAACGAGCCTGACCCTTTTGCCTGGTTTATGGTCTCTGTGACAGACATAATTTAGCCCCAGCAGCATGTGGACAGTGAAATGATGAAATATTGGAGTGGGGCTCATGCCACTTTTCCTTTCTTTGGCACCTGTATTGAGAACTGCCAGTGGGTTAGCAAGGATTTTAAATGCTTTACATGAAATGTTCTCATCATTCCTGCCTCATTTAATACATTTTTTTTTTTGTATCCCTGCTCCAGTGATGGTGGGAAGGCTGTCTTTCACCCTCTCCTCTTTCCTGTTCCTTCCTGATTGCTGAGAAGCAATCTAGGTAGCCAGACTGCCCATTTGTTGTTGTTGTTGTTGTTTTGAAGATACTTAGAGGGCAGCTTTCATTCCTGTCATTTCTTCTCCTTTGTGAAGAAAGAAGTTTGTTATTTTATACCCCCCTTTTTTTGTTTTGTTTCTTGTTTTTTGTAGAGATGGGTTCTTGCTATGTTGCCCAGGCCGGTCTCGAACTCCTGGCCTCAAGCAATCCTCCCACCTTGGCCTCCTAAAGTGCTAGGATTACAGGTATGGAGCCACCATGCCCCAGCTCCCCCTTTTTAAAAAAATTTTTAATTTTTATTATTTTTTTCTATATCACAAGTCATGAAGCAAATATACCCCTCTGTAAGGAGAAGGGTATGATAGTAGTTATGTTTGTTTGCTTAATAGCAGTGCTCCTCTAGGTGTGGAAAGTCTAACTGATGTCCATCTGGAGACAGCCAGTGTGACAGGCAGATTTAGCAGCCGTTGTCCTAGACCTCTCTTGTACCACATTCTCATTGCTAATTTTCTTCTTCTGAAATGCCTTCTCAACCACTGAGGTGTTTTAGTGTTCTAGGGAGGATAAATGAGCTGAATGGAAAGTTAGATTTGGCCTCATCACTACTGTCTCTGTGACCTTGAATAACTATGCATTTATTTCTGCCTCATATTTATAAAGGAATAGTAATCCTTGCCCCTTGGTTTACTTGGCCTGATGTTATAGCCCTCTATAATCTGGCCCCAGCCTATCATTTGGACAACTAATATTAATTGAGCAATTACTGTGTGCTAAGCACTGTGGATATGTCAATGAAAAGAAGTGTTTTCCCTGCCCTTGTGGAGCTTATACTCTAATAGGGGAGATGCTCAATGAACAATCGCAAATGTGATGAATGCCGTTTCCAAAAAGCAATGTACTATAATGTTGGACACATTGCATTCTTTTTCTGAGCTTTAGTTTCCTCATTTGTAAAATGTATTCACTTTAGACTGATAATTTATACTGATCCCCAGCTACATGTGCACCATGCTAAGAAAACAACATTGAATAAGATGGTGTTTGCTTTGGAGGAATTCACTCAGGTGAGGGAGACAAACATAAATAATAATCACAATCAGAGAGGTACTTTGGAAGTACTAGGAGAGCACAGCACCCAAGGAGGCATTCGTTCTTCCTGTGGTGGAGGCCATGCCCACAAAGTGGCAGGTGACCTGTGACCCTAGACATGAAGGCAAGAAAAAGCTCTCTAGACTCTGTTCCCAGGTACCCAATAGCGTGTCTTGCAAATTAGGGACTCTGTGAATGTTGACTGAGTAGACACACCTAAGTCATTAAGGGCCCATTCAAAAGCAGGAAATATCAACATATTGAAAGAGGACAGCTAGTGATAATAGAAATGTCAAATGTCAAATGCTTCTTAGCAAACCCATTATTTCCTGAGACATGCAGCTTTTGAAATGTTTTGTGAATGGCTTTTAGGGAAATTCAGAAATATTTCAGATCTGGTTTCTTTTTGGGCTGAACTTCCTTGATTCAAGTTAGTTTCTCAAAAAGTTATTCTAATTGCATAGAGTTCCCTAAATCAATAAATAAAATTGGATGAGCTGCAGGCAATAGTTATTTTTCTATAGTAAATTAAAAATCTCTCCTCTTACTTTTTAATTTTATTTAAATTTTTTTCTTTTTTGTTCCTCCCCTACTCTGAAGGAAAACTCTCTACATTGTCTTTTATTTTGTTACTGAATAGGAAACAAACAAGACAGACAAAACATCAGAATGTTATAATAATTTAGGAAATCCCATTGCTCTGTTTTCTGGCTATAGTGGAAATGAGATCAATCTCTAAATAAGACTATAGGGAATTTTATATAGATCACAAATAATTTACTTTTAGTTTCTTTTTCATAGGAATCCAACCCTTGAAAACCAGGTAGGCCTCCTCAAGATTAATCTAATATAGCAGTTCTTAATGCATCCCTGGAAGATCTATGAAGACCATGAACCCCTGAGATCATATGTTAAATTGTGTGTGTGTTTATGTGCTGGAGTTAATATGTACGTGCACACATTTTTCTACTTATGTGTATGTCCTTGGGCAAATTACCTAACTTCTTTGAACCTCTGTTTCTTTGCAAGATTGTTGTTGAGGTTTAAATGAAATAATGTATTTTAAATGTCTGACACTATGCTTGGTATAGCTGGTGCTCATGGCAGCTGTTATTAACATTTTATTTTAATGGGTGATGCTTGTTTAGTATCCACAGTGACAAAATAGAGAGAAAGATAACTTATTGTAGTGAGACAGCCTGATTCAATGGGAAGTACACAATATCATCAATGTAGAATTTTTGCCAGAAATGCTTAACTTACAACTAATCATGAGCAAATAATCAGACAAATCCAAATTGTGGGACATACTGCAAAAAAGCTGACCTGTAATCTTAAAAAATGTCAAGGTCATGAATGACAAAACAAAATAAAAGGTATAGGGGACTGATCTACATTACTAAAGAGATATGACAAGCAAATGGAATAATCCTTGATTAGATCCTGGACTTAAAAAAAAGCTATAAAGGACTTTTTGAGGACAACTGGGGAGATTTGAATGGGAGCTACCCATCAGATAATCAGTAACAATGTTAGTTTTCTTGGATGTGGTAGTGATTCCATCCATTTAACTTGACATGTTGTAGATATTGGTGTATAGATCAGTTGGCATTCCTCAATGTTGTCTTCAGGAATGTCAGCAAAGCTGGAAGACTTCAAGGGGCTGCTTCAGAAGGCAGTGATTTTCTTGATCCCTGCAAGTAATCAGCCTATGGTCTTGGATGCCATTTGTTGGGATATTGTAAGTAATCTTTTATGGCTTTTTAAAACATAATCCTATCCTATCATTCTACGGAAGTGTGAACTTCTACAGCTGGCATTCTATCCTTGACATTACTAGAGGTAGTAAATGTAGGTGGAGCATTAGCTGTTTCCAAACTGAAGAGGAAAGGATGGGAAAGGGCACATAGATATATACTTAATTTGTTTTTTGATCCTAGAACTAATATATAATAAATAAAATTTGTTATATCCCATTCTAGCAGGTATGGCTAGAAAAGAAAAAAATATATTGATTAAAGAAAACCACAGTGGACCACATAGGGAAAGTCCTCTTGAATTCCACCGCACAAAGATAATCAACTGTCAGATTTTGATGTTTATTCTGTCATTTTTACCTGTACATATACTAACATTATTACAATACGTATAATTCTGCTTGTTCTCTTTCTTTTTGTGTCTGTGTATGTGTGTTTTGTTTTTTATTTTGTTAACGTACGTAATGGTAAGAAATGGTTTTTTTTTGCTTAATATATTTTGGGCATTTCCCCCATGTATTTGCATATTGCTGCAACTCATCTGTTTTGTTGTTGTTGTTGTTGGTTGGTTGGTTTTTTGAGTCAGAGTCTCACTCTGTTGCGCTGGCTAGAGTGCTGTGGCATCAGCCTAGCTCACAGCAACCTCAAACTCCTGGGCTCAAGCAGTGCCTCTGCCTCAGCCTTCCGAATAGCTGGGACTATAGGCATGCGCCACCATGCCCGGTTAATTTTTTTTTCTATATATATTTTTAGTTGACCAATTAATTTATTTCTACTTATAGTAGAGACGGGGTCTTGCTCTTGCTCAGGCTGGTTTCGAACTCCTTACCTTGAGCAATTCTCCCGCCTCAGCCTCCCAGAGTGCTAGGATTACAGGCGTGAGCCACCACACCTGGCCCAAGTCACCTGTTTTAATGGCTGTTGGAAACTGCTACAGTGAACCTTTGAGTATGTATCATTTTGTTATGAACTTGTGGAAATATTTCTATAGGATGCCTTTCAAAGGGTAGAAATGGCAAGTCAAAGTATACTAATAGGCTGGGCGCAGTTGGCTTACGCCTGTAATCCTAGCACTCTGGGAGGCCGAGGTGGGTGGATCGTTCAAAGTTAGGAGTTTGAAACCAGCCTAAGCAAGAGCAAGACCCTGTCTCTACTATAAATAGAAAGAAATTAGTTGGCCAACTAAAAATACATAGAAAAAATTAGCCAGGCATGGTGGCGCATGCCTGTAGTCCCAGCTACTCGGGAGGCTGAGGCAGAAGGATTGCTTGAACCCAGGAGTTTGAGGTTGCTGTGAGCTAGGCTGACGCCACAGCATTCTAGCCAGGCAACAGAGTGAGACTCTGCATCAAAAAAACAAAAAAAAACAAAAAAAACAAAAAAAAAAACAAACCCAAGAAAAAGTACACTAATAGTTTCCCTTTAATTGTTCCTAGTTTAAGTTCTTATCAGAAGTTATAGGGTGATATTTCTGCATACCTTTGCCGAGTTCATTAGCCATATGGGCTCAACTCTTTTACTGAGTGGAGGAAGTTGTGAAGGATGGGCAGAATGTGTGCGAAAATGTAATTACAGAATTTCTGCTGGTTTTTGTGATGACTGTAATGAAAGTTGATGTGTAAATAATGTGAAAACCTCTGGAAGATAGAAATAAAATACGTTATTTCTGCCCACAACACATTACAGTGTTTAAAAAGTGAACTGAAACAGTAAAGCAGTCAAGCGTTTTCCCCAGAGAATTCTGCAAGAAAATTTTATTTTCGAGTTATGGTTAATTTCACTAAAGTGTGGACACTATCAACCTTGAGATGAAAATAATCTCTTCTGCTTATTCCTCCACTTCTCAGTCACACAACCACATTGGAAAGGGGGGCGGAATTTAAGCCCTACTTTTAAAATATCTGAAGCAGGTGGTTAAAAGGCCTGAGTGTTCATTTTTCTGTATTTCAGTAGAAGCAATCATAGGGAAGATTCTGGCATTTTTCTGTAGCAAAGCAGGTGTGAGCTTAAAAGTGGCCATCAGTGACTCACTCTGCCCCAGCAGGGACCGTGCAGAAGAGATTGTGAGGATCACAAGCCATGAATTATTTTCATTCTTTTAGCATTGTGGCAGGTTGGAGCAAACAAAAAATTTGAGCTGTTTGCTACATGGGTAACTTATCTTTTTAAGCCTCAGTTTCTTTATCTATAAAATGGGGATTATTGTGAGGCTCAAATGAAATAATGTGTATAAAGGGCTTTGGCAAATTTATGTGCACATAAATATGTGCCATTAAAGTGCTGCTTTCTCTGACTGAGCCAGTTCATCACTAAGCTTTCCTCTAATTCCAGTGGCATTTGTAAGCTGAAAGACTGTTTAAAGATATTCTATCTCATAATGTCTTATTGTGATTAATACTTCTTCAGCCAATGTTTGTGTGCTGAATGCAAGGTCCTGTGCTGGGTATTCTGACAGGGAAATGAAGGTGGAACCAACCAGGAGCTTTCTTTCTTTACCACCTTTATTCTAAGAGACTAATTTGTTTTAATGAGGGTCTTTAGTCAAAGATGCTGTACAAACGTGTACTGTGTATACTGTCTCATTCTCTCAATGCTAGGCAGTAGATTTTAGTTCCATTTTTTACATACAAATGAGGAAACAATTCTTAGTAAGGTTAAGTAACTTGTTTTGTTTTTTAATGTTACCTAGCCAAAAAAAAAAACCCAAAAAACAAAAAAAAACCAGATGTAGACCCTGAGTCTTCTGGAACCAAAACTACACTGTTTCTTCAGCTGCTTCCTGGTTTTGCTTTGCCTTCTAATTGAAAGTATAAGCTTCATGAAGGCAGAGCTGGCTTTCATGTGGTTCATGTTACCTTTAGGCACTGGGTGGGGTGTGTGGGGGGGTGTTTTCTGTAGACCTATTGAGTTCACTAAAGCCATAATATGAACTGTCATAGCACACACCAACTAGGTGGTTTATATGTTTTATTTGATTTTTTCTCAACTTATCATGAAAAATTTCAAACTTATAGCACAATTGCAAAAATAGCATAGGGAAGGAAGCTGGGTTCAGTGGAGTGCACATGTAGTCCCAGCTGCTCAGGAGGCTGAGGCAGGAAGATTGCATGAGCCTAGAAGTTAGACACCAGCCTGGGCAACAGAGTGAGACCTTGTCTTTTTAAAAAAATATATAGTACGGTGAACACATCATGCATATTTTATCTGGATTAATTTGCTTTCGTCTTTCTACATGTACACACACACACATAGACATCATTTTTTTTTTCTAAACCACTTGAAAGTAAGTTGCAGATATCATTTTCACCATATTTTATCTAGGCACTTAAACATGTATCCCCTGAAAACAAGGACATTCTCTCATGTAGCCACAACACCATCACATTGAAATAATAAATTTTTCAGATATGTCCAGTCATTCCAATGTCCTTTTTTTTTTTTGGAGATGGAGTCTTGTTTTGTTGCCTTGGCTAGAGTGCAGTGGCATCATCATAGCTCACTGCAACTTTAAACTCCTGGACTCAAGTGATCCTCCTGCCTCTGCTGCCTGAGCAGCTGGGACTACAGGGGTGTGCCACCATGCCCAGCTAATTTTTCTATTTTTTTGTAGAGATAGGATCTCGCTCTTGCTCAGGCTGGTCTTGAACTCCTCATGCAATCCTCCCATCTTGGCCTCCCAGAGTGCTAGGATTATAGGTGTGAGCTACCACACCCAGCCTTCAATGTCCTTTATAACTTTATAAAAAAATTATTGATCGAGGATCTTATCAAGGATTACTTACACAAGATATTTGTGTCCTTTAGTTTACTTTAATGTAGCACAGTCCTGTATTAGTTAGGGTTCCCCAGAGAGACAGAACAAATAGCACAGATAGATGGATGGATGGATGGATGGATGAGAGGGGACTTATTAGGGAGATTGGCTCGCATGATTATGGAGGCTGAGAAGTCCCATGATGGGCCATCTGCAAGCTGGAGACCCTGGGATGCTGGTAGCTGGTCCAAGTCTGCAGGCCTCAGAACCAAGGAAGATAATGGGGTAACTCTTAGTCAGAGGCTGAAGGCCTCAGAACCTGGGTGTGTGGGGGATACTGTTGTAAGTGTTAGAGTCCAAGGCCAGGGAGCCTGGAGTTTTTTTCTAAGGAGAGGAATATGTATTCTAGCTCCAGTAGAATATGTATTCTAGCTCCAAATATGACTATACATATTTGTCTTTTCTCAGTTTTTGTTCTCTCCATGCCCCTAACTGATAGGATGGTGCTCACCCACATTGATGGTGGTGGTGGTGGGGGGTCTTTCCCTCCTAGTCTACTCAGACTCACAGGCCAATCACCTCTGAAATACCCCCACAGACATACCCCCACATAATGCTTTACCAAGTTCCTAGGTATTCCTTAATCCAGTCAAATTGATACCTAAAATTAACCATCATAGTAGTACCCTTGCCTTTTGTGATATTGAAATTTTTGAAGATTCCAAGTTTGTTGTCTTGTAGATTTTCTCTTTATTAGACTCAGGTTAAACATTTGTGATAAAAATGCCCCACGGGGAATATTTCATCCCTCCCCTTGCATCACAGGTGACTTACAGTGTCAGTTTGTAACATCACTGGTGATGTGAGGTTTGATCCTTTGGTTGAGAGGGTATTGAGAGGGTATTGCTAGATCTCTCCATTGAAAGAGTACCATTTTCCTTCTGTAATTAGTAATATTATCGGTGGGGTAATATCTTGAGATTGTTTGAATATCCTGTTCCTTAACAACTTTTATATAATGGTTTTTAATATCTATTGATAATCCTGGTCTAGGTCAAGTGGTATTTATAAAAGAATGATTTTCTAATTTTCTCTTTCCTTCTGTATTTATTATCTGATAGATTAGCTTTCATCTCCACCTCCCCTGCTCCCCCAGCTTTTAAATATCACTTGGACTCATTGATTCTTTCCTCCCCAATGTGTTCTATCCATTACTAATTTTCTTGCCTT